GGGTGAGCGGTGAGTAGTGACACTCTTGTGTTGTCAAAGCATCAGAAGCAACTGAAGGCTCAGACACATTTAACAGGGAAGGTCATAGCCTGCAAATCCTGAACCCGAAAGCGAGACATTGAACCTCCAAGACTCTAAGGATGACTTCAGGACCCATTATATATATATATATATATGTTTTTACTATACTATATAACACGTCTAGTGATGGCAAGGGCAACATAGGAATGACCCTTTGGACTGCAACCGAACAAATCCGAACAGCACAGAATTTGGAAAGTACTTGAAAGTTTCTTGGCATTGAGTGTCTCATGGGTGTTGTTCTGGTGCCATCTGACTCAAATCCTGCGCTGGCCTAGGTGCCTCAGCCATTGACGTCACAGTCCCAGAGAGTCATTTCCAATGTCGTTGAACTTGGGCAATCGATTGGTCAAATCAACTCCAACACAGATGGCATCCAGAGATCACTGTGGGACAGTTTTGTAATGACATTTGCATTGTGCTCACTTGGGGGCCGAGTCTGATGCTTCTCCTGCGCTTAGGCAAAGCCGCACGACACCTCATCCGTGGGTTCAGCAGATATGGCTGCAGGTACTCAGGCGTCAACCAGCTTTGGCTGAGACTCTCCAACAAGTCCCATTTCTCGCCGCTTAAACAGTTTTATTGTTTAGTCGTGCATACATCACCGCCAAATCTATTTGGAGGTTTCCCACCGAACTATCTAATTAGCGGCTACTTTAAGAGAAGATGTGCTCCTGGATTTTTTGATGAGTGTTCTCAGGGAATTCTCCACTAGGAAACATAAATACATATTATAGGAGCGGTTTTGCGGCAGGAGGGTCTCTTGGGTGTCATGGCTGAGAACGACAAGAGCATCAGCAAGTGTGAGATCATCCAGAGGTGCGGGAGGGCTGGCAGAGTGCTTTTCAAGGCCCTGAATTTCCATGTTTGCTCTAATTTTTGCTCAATGGAAGCAGACATTTACAGACCATTATACAATTATAGTTAATTATATACTGCAAAGCACTGAAGAAATGCTGGCAATTTGTTCGTGGCTAATAGTACCTTTGTACAAGAATCGCTGCACAGGGAAGCCAGTGCGCCAACGCCAGGCAGGGTGAGCAAACTAAGCAGTAGATCCTGCCGATTTGGCGGTTTAAGAATCACAATGTGTTGACTTGTAGAGTTCAAAGCAGGTTTGCCAAATGGCCGCAGCACGTTGCTCTTGAAAGCAAAGTTGGAGGACAGCCAACATTGCCACCACTTGTAGCAGCCATTGAGTGTGTTTCAACCCAAGATGCCATCGGTTTCCAATCACCAATGATTCCCTTGCAGGAGGAGCATGCAAGGCAGTGAGAACAGAAGGGTGTGTGAAGACTCCAAGATTTGCGAGCCTCAGCAATACATCATAACGTATCTTCGATAGTTTGTCAGACGGCCAAGTTGGTGCTGGGGTGCCATTCTGGAACACAACAAGCTATAGATAGTAGGACAGACCTTGGCCAGGATGAGTGACCTTTTCGTTCTTGACTGTGACCGACAATGAGATGTGCCAAATCTCCTTGGAATGCTACCGCTGGCCAGGCTGTCTGGGGATCTGCAGAGATTGCAACTGCACAGGCTCGGATGTTAAGAAGACAGCTTGGGCTAGCCAGGGACCAATGGATCCTGGCAGGCTCGTGAGGATTTGTTTGCAGAGAGTTTCCACAGCCGCAAGCACTGGCCTTGCGCCGTTGACATATCACATGTTTTCAAATGTTCATAAATGTTCCAAACGACACACCTTGGTCTTTTGCTTTCTGAGTGGAAACAGAGTGGGTCTGAATTTCTGACCAGTTTGTTCGTGCAGTAATCCGCACGGCAGTCGATTAGTTTGATTGGTTGACCTTTTACATTTATTTGTATACATTCAATTCATAGAGTTATGCAGCATTCCTCAAACATAATTTGTTTGAGCAGGTGACTCAAAGCTTTGTGATCTTGGTGGGCAAGTTGAATTTATATACTTAGATCTTTTGATGTTTGATATGTGAAGCGGACGATTGGACACTGAAAGAGGTCCCGCGTGGTGTTGGCCAAGAGCATCCTCCAACAGCTGCCCCAATCTCTGCCTGCCTAGCGTTGGGAACTCGGACTTGGAGTCAGTGGCCAGCTCTTTGTCGACGGCGGTTTGGGTGTTGGTCGTGTTACTGTTCATGTTGTCATTTTTGTGTACTGCTTGTGCTGTTGGCTTGTGTCGCTTCTGAATCAATTATGTTGGTGCTACAAGCTTCACTTGCTCCTGTAAACAGATCAGTGTGATTACTCTATAGTCTAGCAATCGTTATAAGGACGAGGGACTGGGAAGATTTACTCTGCAAAGGTTGCAGTTTCTAAATCAATCCCGGAATCCGCGGCGAGCATTGGCTGGAAATTCTGAGGAGTTGACGATGAAGTCAGTGGCTGGAGCAGTTGTCTCCTCATCAAATGCCCGAAGCGAAGCAGACCCGCAGTGCCAGCAAGCCATTCAACTGCCTTCATGGCCTTCATGAAGTCTTAGGGCTCTTGTTGGTGGCTTTTGCCTTAGCAGCGCTTCCAGGATCCAAATTTGTGTGGCTCATAGGCTCTCAAACATTACGGAATACAACTAAGCTCCTGAATTTGCTGGAGCCCTGACCTCGAAGGATCAACCAAGTCAGTACTTGGAGCCCACTGCCCCTAGTTTCCATTGTCGATTTGCAGGCCACGATTGAATGAGAACTGAAATTGCTTTTGCTTGTGCATGTGTTGCTACGAGGGAAACACTTTTGAGGAGCTTTCGGTTCTATATGACCTTATACTGTCCTAGAATGCTCTACCATACTTGACTATCCAACATGAATGTTAATTAGGAATGTGAAGGCAATATGCTTGATACAGCACCGTTTGATGTTGGCAGCTTGACTGTTGATGACATATGCGGCATGCACACTTCCTTTGCACATAGTTCAGAAGGGATATGCTAGTTTGTCATTGGAGCGGAGAAACAAATAACGGAGAAAGCGGGCGCAATTTGAGATCCTGAGATGTTTTGGGAAGGTTTTTAATGACTTGACCTTGCACAAGAAATGATGCGAATAATACGGCATTTCAATGCTATGAATTCATAGACGACCGCCCTCTGGAGCTCGAAAGCCCTTTTGATATAGTGTGGAGAGACTTCGTGTGTTCGCCAGAGAGTGATATGGATCACTATTCTGTCAAACAGTGTTTGGAGGCCATCTCAAGTAGGTTTGCAATCGCTATCGGGTTCCTTAAGGCCTTAAGGTTTCCTACTTGGTCCCTTGATGTCCCTTTGGCACTTTTTTAGCACTTGAGCGTGATTGATGTAGTGCTAGCAATTTGAAGAATATATTCAATTCACATGCCAATAATTTTGCAGTAGTGACATCCATTGCTATGATTTGAGTTTGGAAGCATTACGCTTTGCTATGCTTCGGGTTGCCCCCGGGCCCGCAATGTTCCGCTTTGGTTTCCCTGTGAAGCAACAAATTGCCGCTTGGCGAACACACTCCTATCAGGTGCATTGCACCTTTTTTCTTTCCATTGCAGGGCTTTTCGAACGGAAGCTAGATGACCCTCAGACTCTCAGTATTTGAGAAAGATCGCGCAGCCCAGCATGAGCTGCAGTGTTCGAAAACAGACTGTCGCCCACCGTGCTCCAGCAGAGCATTTTCTTCGAGAGGTAGCAGTGAAAAGATTGTCCAATTGTTCCTGCGTGCAACAATCCTTCGTGTGATGGCACCGCATCCAAAAACCTTGATTTCCTTGAGTGCAAGGCTGCCTGTACTCAGTGCCAAAGTGCTCAAGATTTAGGAAGCTCAGAATTCATTGATGATTTTACACGCATGGATGGATATGCATGGTTGATATTCTTTTGTCAAAAAAGATCAATTGAGGCGAACATACGAAGTTCTTGCGAATGATGCCCCTTGTTCTTCGCGTCTTTTGCAATTTGTGGGCGGTGATGGCGAAAGAGCGAATGACAAAGGACTTGCTGCTCAAGCTTATGGACGAGGTTCCGGAGATGTTCAATCAGAAGTCGTCCGTCCTTTCGTGAGGCAGTAGCTCCGAAAACTCCAATCCCTTAAATCACTGACTCAGCAAGAATGGAGTTAGGCATTTTCTCACATATGACATATGCATGCAGTGCTGGTGGGTTGTAGTTTCCCGACAAAAATCAGAGTTGTTGCATTAGCCAGGGTGTCGGAATACGTCGGTCCAAATTTGTGCTCCCGGACAAAATATGGCCAAGGGGGTCCGGGGTTTCTCACCCTTTGTTTCGCAAGTTATGTGCGGTGCTTTTTTGAGTTGCATGACAATCAGAGCGGGCAAAGCATGTTCTGTTTGTCAGTTGAGTCAGTTGTGTCAAAGTCAAAGGTGTTGCCTGGGCCGTTCTTTTTTTTTTGCCACCCACCAACCACTAAACTCCCCTACCTGCCAGTCACTCATTGAGTACTCCAGCGCATCTTGTCAGACTTGGGGACAAATTGGGCTATTGAAGGACTAGAAAAAAGACGGTGGAGTCCGGTAGAGATAAAATCGAGTTCCAAATGAGAGAACCCTTGACACCGCTTCAGAATTTCATGACATTCAAGAATACACAATGTCATGTCATCCTTTCTCCGGACTTTGGAGGCATATGGAATGTGATAAATAACAGGGCATAAGTGCATAAATAGCAAGTGATGCAGCCTGTAGCGCACTGTTCCATGTGATGTAGTTTGCCCTTTAGTTTTTTGCAGGTAGGTTTCAGAACACTCCAAGGCACTCACAACATCTCACAACAAAAACATACAAAAACCGTTTATATATAATGCTTTAGTTTCAACTCTTCCTCCATGCTGCGACGACCTACTTTGTTTCTTTTGGATTACATACTGGATAATTGATCCATGCATTAATGCCCAAATCCAGAAATGGTCCAGACATTAAACTGATTGAACGATGCGAAGGATGCAACATATTCGGCTTTCAACAACGTTTGGAAACGTATTGTTTGGAAACCGTAGAGTCTAGATCGTTCAACTGTCTCCCCAAATCGGGCCATGCACTGAGGATTGCTTTCAATCCGAACTCCTTGATGTGTGGAGCGCACCTGTGAGCTTATCAACGAAACAGGCAGCGGACAAAACGGGTCAAGCTAACGGCGAAGAGCGAACAGCAAAGCCACAAGGTTCGTCTTAGTTCCTTTAAGTGGTTTTGTGCAGTGTGTCGAGGTTCAAGTAAGACTCTTGCACGCGCGCTTTGTATACCAGGCAAACCTGTTTACAAGAACATGATATAATGATATATAGGCTGGTTATAGGCTTATGCTGGGTAGCTGTCCTTGACAACGTATGGTGCCCTGCTGCAGTGAATGTGTAGTTCCTGTTTAGATGACCCCAAGCAAAGCAGATAATTTTTTGTGGTAGGCTGCTAGACGAGAGCTGCTGCTGAAGTACATGCTTCTCGGCAGACTAGCACTGGCGTGTTTGCATAGGAACACAAACATGATTCTTTTTATTTTGGGCTCTCGGATTTTCCATAGCTAGAGTTGCAGAGGGGTGTGGGCACTCCAGCCGAAGTGAGATTTCACATCGCCACACACTTTGATTGCTTTTTTGCCCAAATGCACAGAAGGAGTTGAGTTTCTTACTGTAGCCTCCATCACTTGTGTTTTGACCTACTTTACTACTATACTACACCTACTTAATTCACAAATGTGTTCTTCGGTGCTCAGGCTGTCGAAGTGACCTAACCCAAGTGTCGTTTCTCTGAGGTGTCCTTTGGTCAGCAGGACAGGGTTGCTTGGGTATGCCGACACAAACACACATATATACAATGTGCATACATGTTTAATTGACTGTGGTATACTGTGGTCTTAATGGAAACACCTGTCGACATTAGGCCTTTATGCAAACCGTTGCTAGGAAATTGACATGGTTCAGCATTGATGGGTCGGTCAAGGTATGTCAAGGCTGCTCGAAGCATGCACTATACCGCATCACGACCCAATTTGCAGAGGTACGGCTTTGCTGAGACTTGGGAAGGAGCAACTTGGCCTTGTCAAGTTCAAGGTATCCGTGGTATCCATGGCCTGGCTTTGCAGACCAAGTTTCCAGCAACTTGAGGCCTTGATTCTTTCGCCGTGGCAAACTGCTACAGTCAATTTCGAGGGAGAGCGCAAGTTATATAGAGCAGCAAAGTTTGTGTGGCCTTCAATGTTCGCCAATTTGGAGTATTTGTTCCGTTGTTTGTAGAGCCCAGGTGACAGAGAGCCATCAGAGTTCACGACCATGGGCATCGGATCCAGAGGTCACAGCAGCCTGGCACAAGCTGTGTGTGGCAGACCTCACAGTGTACAGCGATACTGTGAGCACTGGCAGCAATTTGAAAATACTCACATTCTACAATATGGTTCTCACCGCGTGCCACTCACGCCCAAAGAATACTCACCCTCATCATCATCCACAAAATCAGTCGCAGTTGAATGTTTGGCAAACATATATGTAGGCGGATGTACAGTCTTTGAAGTGTTATTGCTGGAGCACAACCGGCTGAGTTCGTTGTTTCAGATCAGATTGTTTCAGGCCAAGTTCATGCTGCAAAAGTGGTTGCTTGATCCTGATCTACAGGCTCATTTTGATCTAGGTCCAGGTTGGAGGGCATCGCTATTAGGTGGAGGCCATCGCTATATATTAGGCTCAGTTTGCTGAACTTGCTCTAGGTTGCCTACTCGGACGCCTCATGTATCTCCTAGGTCCTATGTATCGGAACGATAGGGATTGGCCGATCGGAACTGGAAGGCATTTTCAATGGGTTAGGGCCTAGGGCACTGGAAGCTTTCCCAGGAACTTTGTGACCGAAAACATAGGCATAGACGGAATTGTAAAACATGAATTCTTTATTTCACTGAGTCTTTGTTTTGATTTTGTTTCTTAGGCAGGAAGAGGATCCCTTTTCCTGGATTCTGATTACAATTGCATAGCTGCATAGGTATGCTATTTAAGTCATCAATGGAGTGCCGGTGGAAAATTTGCCAGGCACCTTGCCAACACCTGACCGCAGCAGAAATACACAACAGGGGTAAGTAGCAAGTGTGCCACAATATAATATCTCTCTACATGGCATGTCATGTCACCGTCTACAAGATCAGTTGGTTTGATCGAATTTTGGTGTTTTCATGGGCAGATTGGATTCATGGCAATGTTCAGGCCAGAAAGCCCCTGGAAGCATCAAGCTCGCAACTTTTGGCGAGTACAGTGCGGCAGCTTTGCAAGGAGATGGAATTTGTGTTGTGGAACATTGTTTTTAACGCCACTCTGCCCTCCAAGCTTATAGCGATGGCCTCCAACCTACTAGCGATACCTGCTGCAAAGTTTCGGCTGTTTAGTGCAGGACATCGAACGCCCACTCCAGCGCCGCTCACTTTGCGCACCGCTCTGCAGTACCTACTGCAGCCCGAAGGCCACATCTGCGGAAGAGGTGAAGTTGCACTGGGCGCGGCCAGAGCAGCAGGCGAGTTCTCCCTCAGTTGATTGAAAGGTTGACACAGGCTCCTGTCATCAAGAGCCTCTTTATGTCGTTCACGAAAGTTCTTTTTTCTGAGTTCGCGAAAGTAAAGATTTGCTTCACGAAAGATCCGCGAAAGATACTCTATATTATATAAGACTATTTACTGTATACCTCATTCACTCAGGGGAGCTTTGACCTACACACAAGATCATTGACATGCCTTTGCACATTGCATGGCTCGCAATTACAATACTATGGCTGAAACCCACAAATGACGTGACATGTTTTTGGCGAAAGTTTCGCGAAAGTTTCGCGAAAGTTCCGCGAAAGCATTGGAGAATGTAAAAGCCTGTTTTGTGAACCCCTGCCCACACAGCCAGGGACTGATTCCACAATATATAGGGGCGTGCGTGCCGTAGCCTATGCATGTGTTCTCCAAGCTAAATAAGCACAGAGAGGCCTAGCAAGACATGAGCATGACAACAGGATGACAACAGCTACTGTAATGTTTCACACGGGAGTGCAGTGAAGTGCTTGCATCTTTTTTTCCTCAAGATAATAGCACAAGGGATTGGGGCTCTTACTTCAAGTATAGGAAGAGTTGTTTGTGTGTGCTTCGGGGTCTGGGTGCTGGCGCCACTGCAGAATGCTGCTGCATGGTGTTGCTGCCAGATGTCTATGGCAGTGGGTGGCGCTGCAGGGTCCTACTGCAGAGTGCCGCTCCAGGGTGCCTGCCAGATGTCTATGGACGTGTGCTCTTTGGAGCTTGGGTGCTGGTGCTGCTGCAGGGTGTGGCTGCAGGATGCCGGTGCCAGATAGGTGTGGCCGTCTCGGCGTTGGAGCTTGGATGCCAGTGCGGCTGCAAGGTGCCACTGCCAGATCACCTCTACGTTGAACAAAAATGAACAAAACGCTTGGGCGCACCCACAAATATCTTATGCTATTTGTGCTGCTTCACCAAAGTAGATGAGCGAGCCACGGGTAGTAGTAGAGCTTCTTCACGCGCGGATAGAGCTAGGTGCTCCCCCGAAAGTTAAACATGGGGCTCGCGAACGTAGTTTTTTTTTTTTTTTCGAAGACGGTCGTTTCAGTAAGAAGGAATCTTGATCAACTACCATGTACTCTTAGGAAAGGTCGGAATTTACCTTATGTTCAACCTCAGTATAGCAGCAGTTACTTTATTGTAAACATGTTTAGTGGCCATTGCCTTGTAGGTGTTGGTGTTACGGCATGTTTTGCAGCTGGAAGAAGTTCGAACGCCATTTTGATGCAATCAGTTTTTTGGTTCAGATGGACAAGCAGGGCTTGAACAATACGTTGCTTCCCATGTGTGGGATGCCTTGCTGTGGACCTGGAGATTGTTTACCTGATTTACCTTTGCGAACAAGTGTACTGTCCTTGGTGCGTTCATCAACGTATCCAGCACAATCTGCACTAAGATCCCAATATGTTTCTCTCTTCGTGTGGAATGGGGACGCACCAGAATAGTGACAAATATTGGTTTATAGAAAATTGCCTTTTGACTACTTGAAACTACAAAAGAACTGCCCCATTTTGTCCATAACTACGGCAAGTATTGACACTATGTATATAGAATAGCTTTAGTTGTTTGAGCTCTAGGTTATCTCACATTGCACTGACAATCTCCATTCATATAGCCTTTGCATAGTGCTGCTGTCTTGAACGTTTCTGAACAAACTATGTTAGTTTGACTCAATTGTCATAAGGCAAGGGCTGGAGCATAAGACTATGAAAGTTGTTTCGTTTGTATTATTTAGAATGCAATCTGTTTACTTGTTTTTTTTGATGCATCCTAAACTAAAGAAACAGTTCTTTCTGTCAGGAAGGGTTTGCCGGTGTGTTTGGTTTTGGAACCAGTCGATCCTGCTGTGCAGCTAGTTGCATCATTTGCATGAGGCTTCGGGAATGGGGCTTGCCGCTTGGAATTGAACAGAGGGACCGGACCAGGGGTGCCCTGCGCTTGTTTTAGGCATTGAAGCTCTCAGCAGGAAGGTTGAAGCTGGGTTGGAGAAAACATGTGAACGTTCCAACTTGTTTTGATCGGAGAAAGTGGCGGGGTGTGTCATTGTCATTAAAGGGTATTGACAGCAGTGTTGACATGATCATTGCATCATAATGTCTCTTCAGCACGTTATTTCATGTTTCAAGGAGCTTGCAAGTTGTTACCAACTTCGGCTACGGGCCAAGAGTGCTGTGATTCTGAATGATTCCTCAGCGAAGTTCTTTTGCACAGCCTTTGCTACCAGAACAAGCTACAACACAAACCTGTTTGCACATGAGTCATGAGGATGATTTAGAGTCAGCCGCTTATCGTTTGGAGGGTCTTTTTGCCATTTGGCTTGCCTGCCAGTATGTAAACCTTTGCGAGATACCACTAAAAAGCAAACAGAAATACACATCTTGGTGTTGAGGCAATAGTAACCTGGATTTATGTACATCAGTCGTGTTTCAGGTTTGTGCTTTGACTTGACTTAGAGAAGTGTTTTGATACCCACTGCTGGGTTTAGGCTGGCCAAGCAACAGCCTACAAGCTATTGCTCTGCTTGAGGTCGAGCGAAGCTTGGGTGCACGCAAATGGATGCTCGCATTGCAATGGAAATTTCATACTTCTCACATCTTCTCACAAATATCAGACGCATCATTTGCTGCTCTCAGTCATTTGCAAGGCCTGTTTTTTGACGGCTTCACAAATTTGCGGTTTGCAAGGGCTCCCACTTATTGTCTCGAATTGTTGAGAAGAACAAGCGATTGAACCGGCAGTTGGTTTAAACGCGAGCTTTTGTGCGATTCTCATGCTTCACGGCTACCTGAGGACACCTCATTGACCAAGTCTTTGATCCAGTCCTCTCCTTGAAATTTTGGAGCCGTGTTGGGCACTTGATGCCGTTCAAAAGCTGCCATGCCAATGGTCTCAATGAGCATGTGCGCTTCTTGAGATATGGCCAGGAGGGGTGAAGCCAAATTTCTTTTTGCTTCGCTGCCATATCATTTCCCGTGGCCAAATACAGCAGTTGTCGTTGAATCGCAATCCGTTATAATATATATACTGACTCACTGTGTATATATAGACAGAGAGAGAGATCCAAAATCAGTGATCATGAGCAGCCTGCACAGGGGAGGGTGTGTAGTATGCATATATTTATATTTGTATACATATATATATAGATACGTATATGTATACACACATGGTGTTATAAATATATTATGTATGTTTTGCGTACAGATACGCACAGTGTTCACAGGAGGGATTCAGAACGATTGAAGGAGTCCGAACGACAAAATGTCAGTCATTAGACATGGATGGTGAAGATTTTGTAGCAACATGCACGATTAGACATGTTCCATATTTATATATGCACGAAAGTCAACTTAAAGAAATGGTTGACAAAAGTCAGTGCCACACAGGGCCACTATTTTGCTCCCCACCAAGATGGCGAGAATCGCAACGGCAACGGGCGCTCTCTTTTCTCCGCCCTTTTGACGCTCAGAAAGCATCAATATCCTACCCTCATTCACTCCTGAGCAAGTTTGATCCTTTTGGTTGATGTGGAACAGAGACTTTGTTGCGATCAATGTATGAGTTGATCTTTTCGTTGCTACAGGTATTTGTCTGACAGTACCGATGGCTGCGGGGGTACTACTCGCTTTGTGGCGCCCCAGTGCCCGGAGGCAAGCAGTGAGGTGGCATCGTCCATGCTGTACAGGCTACAGTGGCTACCCACTATGTGAGTATCGTACGTAATTAGGCGCTTGAGGGTGATTTCCCGCCGCATGACCAACGTTGCCCGATAGTCAGGTGGCCCGCTGTGGTCGGTGTGACTGGTCCTGCGATCACTGTGTAGATGCTCCAGTTGCTTGCCTTGTTTACATGCTTTATGCAATGCCCTTGGCTGACTTGATACAGACTTGTCATTCTTCTTGTGCTTGCGAGGGATTGCAACATGTCTTTCAAACTCACGGTGAGCTGTGCAGTTTGCTTGTGGCCGAGGTTGCAGCTGGAGACATGGTCATTTTTACACAGACTTTGCTGCATGCAGGGACTGAGCCAAAATCAAATGAAAAGTTTGTATCCCAGCTGCACTTGTTGGGTTAATTACGATCCCAAACTTGGTCCATCCTTTGGCAAGTTTCATATGTCAAATTTCAGCTCTCCAACATCTATGATTACTTGAGGAGGAGAAGGAGAAGGAGGAGGAGTAACATTTCTACCCTCGGTACTTCAATGACAAAGAAAACACAGACGTTGATTGCATTGATTGACGTTTGTCACCCATCCTATGATGCTAGCTGCTAGCTGCTAGCCAACAAGTTGTGGATTGCTTCTATGCTAGGCCTCAACAAGCCTAATGTCGACGTTGGATTAATCAACCCCCCTTCAAGGTCAACAAGGTCTGAGATTGGAGGTACTGGAAGACCACGTCCCCCTAATAAAGGTGATCACCTGATGATGGATGATGAAATGATGACAAGAGTAGGAAAGATTGGGATTGGGATATTGAGGAAAGAGATTGGAAGACAAGATTCATTCTTTGATTGGGATGATTAAGAAAAAGAGGATTGCAGGATGAAAGAGGTTGAAGACAAGATGGAGGCCAGAGGGTGGCTTGATTAATAGGGGGAGGTTAGAAGGAGGTAGGGCCTGTGTGAGGGGTACCCTTTGTGAGCTTAAAAACCTTAAGATTTTGATAGTGTTTTCATAAGGAAAAAGAAAACATGCTAGTGAGTTGTTCTGTTTTGTGACTAACAGGGAAGGGTGAGAAGAAAAAGCAGGATGAGAAGCAGAAGGAGGATGAGAATGATGGATGCATGAACAAGAAGATATTGGATACTGACCAAAAAGAAAATATATAATAAAGAACTAAATGTAGTTATAATAGTAAACAAAAATATAATCATTTTTCTGGGGCAGCTGGGCTTGATTAATATGGGGGGATTTCTGGACAGGGAAAACACATATTAGGGGGATGCCAAGGTGGAAACTCAGGTTTTAAATTCGTTTAGTATTGGGGCTCGAGCTGGGCTTGATTAATAGGGAGGTTCATTAATCCTATGTTGACATTATCTAAGACTTGGTTCTTGTTTCAGAGTACACACCACAGTCAAGACACACAGCTTCAGCGAAAGTGTGACGAGGTGTTGTGCTTTCGGCCGTCTCAGCAAAGTCTGAGGTGATTCGAACGGATGTCATGTATCCTGTTGCTAGCACCTGAGCCTTCGAAGAGGAAGCTTGAAGGTGATGTGCTCCGCTGCAGGCAACGCTTGGAAACAAACTATTTGGGTTGACATTTCTTGTCCTCAATCTCCAAAGCTGCCCCGTCCCTTGCAGAGCTTGTGAAGTTCTGTTCATTGGTTTGGCTCGTCAACTAGCAAATATTTGTCACCAGTCCTCAGGGTTTTGGTACTGGTACCGTATGAGTATGATTTTCCATCCCAGTGAAGAAGAAATGAAAAGACCTAATGTTTCTTACCGAGAGTTCCCTGTGTGAAACTGTACAGCTTGCTTTTGTGCGACAAGATTCACTGCAGGCGGCACCTCTCGTTCCACAGCATGGACACCATGTGATCCCTGCGGCCAAGAAGATTTGACATCCTCGGAGCCATCGTCATGGTCTTTGCATATATGATGACCACCTTCGTGATCACAGGTTTTCTCCTCAAGCAGGGACACCCCTTGCTTCCATGTTTTTTTCAGTGGATTTTTGGGAGTCCTAGGTCTGGAGATGTCTGGAGTATCCCCTACACATTGAACAAGAACGGGTTCTTACGATCTGCTGAAACCTCAGCTGTCTCTCACGACATTGGAACGCACTTGTAGTTGTTTGACATCGTTTAGCCAAGACTGCAGATGTCTCAAATGTTCTTGTGTGGTTGCATGTTCTAAAACCGATTCATTTGACCCAGTCATTGAAAGAGGAAGTCGATGCCTTTGATATACGGCTATGGCTATTGCGAATAATTTTGAAACTTTCGACTACTGTACTTATTAGACAGATAGGCGCAATACAAATGCGAGAGTATATGAACGTTCTTTCCCCCATCATCCCGACTGAAGAATTAGGCCCTTCTCTGACTGAGGATTTGGAGGAGAGGCGAGTCAGCTTGGCTGCCGGACAAACATGTTTTACGTGCACCAATGTCCGACCCTCTCAAACAGGTCACCAACCGGACAGCGCATAGCCCATTCACATACGAGAACATAGAGTTGGCTGTCCTAGACAGCAGCGGTTGTTTGGATGCAATGCGGCAATTCATCATTATAACATATATATATATATATATATTCATTCATTCATCTGCCGGCGAGCGGGTCGTCTCGCCCGTGTTGGGCCGCGTGCTAGCACGGATGCTTCTGGGAGCATCATTGGCCATCGAGATGCAAAAGGCTCAGTCGAAATGTGTGGAGATGAGCTTTGCCAGTGTGGCTTGCTGGAGCGTATGCAGGTTCGGCAAGGGAATGCGGTACTCCTGGCAGGTTTGAGCCCATGGTGCCAACCACAACATGTACACCTCCTCATAGAAGGTACGGTCCCTGACAAGACGTTGGCAGGGACGGTTGTCGTCACATTGCAATCCACTTCCTGAGTTGAAGAGCACTGCACGGTAGTGTCCAGAGGTCGGCTCAGCTCCTGTGTGGAGTACGGCTGCAATCACCTGAAAATCATACCATGTCACGGAACAATGGGATACTCCATCAAAGACCGGCAAGGAAATGCGGTTGTGCTCCCACGAAATGGCGTGAGCGTGTCGGACACAGAGTGCCGGATATCGTTCCAATTGCAGGCATACGAACTGGCTTTGAGACCTCAGGGCGTTCAGAAACGGTTCCTGCCTGTGCCAAAGGTGTAGCACCTGTTGAAGCGTGGTGTCAGCCTCAGGAAGCGCTCGAAGGACAATCGGGGCAGCAAGAGAACCACTGTCTTCTGTGCTGGTGGCAAGGCGTGTGTCCCAGGCATGGAGTGACAGGGGGTTGTCAGACATGAGATCCTTTTCAAACATCCGGCCTCTGATCCATCCAGCGAATTCACCTGCATCGTGTTGAGCAGATGAAGGATGGGTGTCAAACCAGGCACGAAGGTGGTCTGCTAAACATGAACTACTGCATGGATAGACAGCCTCCCCTGCATGAGTGGTGAACATGCTCAAAATCGGCTGTGTCCATGATCCCCAAGTGTCAGGACGGAGCGCTGACGTCATCAAGCTAGTCCAGCATTGAGCTTGCAGAACCGAGTTGATGTAGCACGAATTGCCATCATTCAGCAGGCTTGTAGTCATCATTCCCCTCATGACCTGCGAAGTTGCTGGGAAATAGCAACTGCCAATGGTGAGCGCTGCAACGTGCATTGTCTCATCCTCATCAACACTAGCTGTGTAATGCCGTTTCCGGCGAGTTTCAACAACAGGTTGTGAAGTTCCAGTGCTTCTGGGCCCCTCATACTGATGTCCAACCGCCATGGTATGGCAACAGCCGTGTCCTGAGGAATGTTCTCGGGCTTCAACGAACGAAGAGCGGAGAACTTCAAGATCAGATTCGGATTCTGCCCCAGCTGATGGATACGTTGGAGCATTGCACAAATCTCTTCCGACGTCAAAGGAGTCTTCTGATTCGCTTGCAGGGCTTTGGCTTCCGCATTCCAGGTGAGGTACTGCCACTTGTTGTCCTCGGTCAAAATGCCCTTTGTTTTCAGCCCCATGATCAGCGGATCGTCCTTCTTTGTCAGCTGGAGCTTGCTGGCGCGATTGATCAGCTCTTGAAAGATCGTCAAAAACATCGTCTGACGTAGCGACATCGTGACGTCTCCGTTTTGCCGTTGTTGGTTCCATTGGCGGCCTGTCTCGAGCAAGGTTGGCATGACAGAGCCTCTTCCACATTGAAGGAACATCATCAGACCACAATCTAGACTCATCTGATTTAACAAGTCCTCCTGTCGGAGGGATAACCGGGCCACCATCATGAGCAGGTCGTGGTCCCTGCCATCCGAGGTGCTCACTGAGGAGCTTGAGTTCCGCTTTCGCGGCTCCCGGCCATGTGTCGTCATTCCACCTGATGACAAGGCTGTCTTCTGGCGTTTGAGAAAGCCATCCGTGCAGGCCTCGAGTAGATCCGTGAAGGATTGATCGTCTCCGGTCTGATGTTCCATCGTGGCACAAGCTCAACTGAAGGTCACGGTTTCGGGCCAGGATCTGGGCAATGCGCATGAGGACATCTTTCACAAGATGCATCTGGTCACCAAAGGAGTCATGGATGTACATGCAATCATATCGAATGTCCGGACTCTGCTCACAATCCAAGGTCCAGGCCCAGCACACTGGGCGTTGTGCACGAAGGGCATGGATGGAACGGAAGACCTGATCCGTGACAAAACGAGTGTGAGGCAGGTCAGGGAAGTGTGCAAACCAGTTGATCGTATGATCAAACCATCGAAGATGCTGGTGCGGATATGATGTCGGGACATAGAGCAGTGGAAACCAGCAATCAACAAGGTCAATGGTGGAGACTTGCAAATTGTGTCCAATCAAGCCTGGGTGGCTGGGATCGAAGTACCTGTGCAGCAGAACGGGCAATGACGGGTCCATGGGGTCATCAACTGGAGATGGAGGTCCTGAATGAGAGCCAAAGAGCAACTTCCGAGCCCAGTCACAGGTGAGAACAGGACAGGAGCTACGCTTGAAATGGGTGACCAGTGCTTGTTCCATGGTGAAAGAACTGTAGCAATGTCGGCAGGTCAAGCTTCCGGGCAACATATCACGTTCAGGAACGAACTCAAAGGCATCCTGTTTCGTGGCTTGATGTTCACGTTTCAAATGAACCCACAAGGCTTTACGACCAACTGTTTCCTGACACAGGGGGCATTCATATTGCTTCAAAGGAGGATGAGGCGGTTCCTGAACAGGAGCTTGGAGCATCTGCTGGATCGTTTTCGGACGTCCAGGTTTCCTAGTGTCCTGACGGGACCGGTCATGACCTGTCCCTGCAGCATGATCTTGATTGAGGTGTTGGTCAAGTCCTGCAGGTGTCAGGAAAGCCATGTGACAGTGCTGGCACTTGTGTAGACAGCTGGTGTTCTTCGAGACTGCAGGTGAGGTCACGAGTGCAGGATTGTCGACGCTACCAGGTGGACCAGGGACAGTGGCAGCAGGTGTCTCAGCTACCGGAGGTCGAGGTGTCATGTCTGCATCCGCTTCGTCCAGTCGGTCTTCAGGATCTCCTCTCATCATGACTGGCATCACCGGAAAATGACTAACATCATAGGTTTGACCTAGCAGGATACTCAGTTGCATAAGGACTCCACACTGATGCGTACGAACATTGTTGCAGGATTGATCACACAGGATGCAACTGCCTTTACCGCTTCCTAAGTTGGCCAAACCATAGACCTGTTCTTTGTGCAAAGGCTCAAAAGACAGCACAGTTGGGCATGACAGTCACGGTAGTGGCGGCGAAGCGATCGAGCGGCTATGGCACTATGGCAGTAGGCACAATGGTTGGACAGTTCCTTCATCAAGGCCTTGTTGAGGAGAAGTCCAGGAATGCTTTTGTATCTGAGATGCATACGAAGGTCAGGTCGATCACAAATGGGCACAATCTGGTCCTGCAAGGCATTAAAATGCAAACAGACTCGTTTGTTGATATGATCACGGAGTCGAAAGAAATCAGTGAATCGTTTGTGGCAATGTCTACAAGTTGGGTGCCCATTGGTGGTGTCCCGGAGAGGATTATAAAGATCTTCTTGAGTGCAAGGGATTTGATGATGTTCCCTTAGGTGACGCTTGTACGGACCTGCCTGTGTGAATGCTCGATGGCATTCATGGCATCGGAGTACAGGGACCTGGGTACACGGATCAGTGTGTGATGACGGAAAAGGAATGGTGGCTTCAGGATAATCTGGGACATGGACTCCTGCATCACTAGGCATGGTCGACATGGCTGATGCTCGAAGGCAGGACCGGCGGTGACTCAAGGAATTTGTCAAACGATCAAAGTGTCGTTGAAGCATGTGCCATGGTGGAGACAAGCCAAGACTTTGGAAGAATTCTTGAGTCGGTATACGTGTGAGGTGAACAGGTGCATGTGCCATCGAACGAAGGTGCTTATTGATCATGCCAATGATGGTGCTACTGCCATGTTGTGTAAGGCCCATTTCAAACACCCCGTAAAGGACAGTGGGGAGAACACACTGACGGTACAGTTTGATCCTTGTCTGTATTGGAT